CGGGAGGGAGTCGAAGGGCAGGGCCGTGGAGGAAGGGTCGGGGTGTCGCTGCCTCCCGACTGTCGCATTCTTGCGCATTCCGTGGCAGCCTGCACCCACTCCATGGGTAGTCACGTCCACGCTTGCGACACTCCCGCGTGCTCGAGATGACTGCGCTGAGAGCGAAACTTACTGCCACTCACGAACTTTCCCTCCCCGTTTTGGTCCGAAATTGTATCAGTATTGCTTCAGGGATACTATGGACGAGAATATTGGACCAGGACAAGTGAAACAAGCCTCTTTAGGCATATTTCGGAGCTTGTAAACGTAGGTTCCAAACTTTTAATGTAGACAGAAAGAATATGTCCTCCCCGATTGTGGAGATTCCCTCATGAAGCTGATTTTCTGGACAGGTTGACGATTTCTTAAAAGGTGGATGAACTGCTGATTTCTTTCAAGGGCATTCACACCAGCAGCCAGAACTTGGGCTCAAGGATTGCTTCCTTGATGTACTGATGTACTAATGTGGAACTTGTGTTTGTGAGGGGTGTGCGTGTGATTTTGATAGGGATCTCAATTATGTTTGAAACATTTTTGTTATAGAAGACCAATCAGAAGGATCGCTTGTAACTTCTTGACTTTTCACTTCTCTTTGACATGTGGCTAGGCCTTGGAAAATACATGTTGGTTGACTAAACATAAATTCAAATAAGTAAACGAACTCAGAAATTCAATCTTTTCTATTGCAGATGAGCCCCTGTTCCTGCTTTGAAAAGCCATTTTGTGTTAACTCTTGGCTGTGAATAACTTCCTGATACACCTGTCAGGGCCATCACTGGCAGCAAGCATCGAGAGGCACTTGTCCCAACCAGATACCGGAGATAGAGAAGAGGTAGCTTTGGTTTTTGTTTCCTTCCTCTGGTCACTATGGACACTGGCTTTTCACCCCTGTAGTAACAATGTTGAAAGCTGAGTCCTCGGGTGAACGCACCACCCTTAGAAGTGCATCTCCTCACAGGAACGCCTACAGAACGGAGTTCCAGGCGCTGAAGAGCACCTTTGACAAACCCCAGCCCGATGGGGAGCAGAAGGCCAAGGCGGGCGAGGGTGCCCAGCAGAGCAGGGGGCGGAAGTATGGCTCCAACGTTAATAGGATCAAGAATCTGTTCATGCAGATGGGCATGGAACCAAGCGAAACCGCAGCCGTGGTGGCCAAGACCAGGGGGAAGGGCGGGCATGCGTCCCCTCCTAGGAGGCCGAGGCCCCGGGAGTTCCTGGAGAAGGCGGATGGCTCGGTGGTGCAGCTGGAGTCCTCTGTTTCTGAGCGGATCAGCAGGTTTGACACCATGTATGACGGCCCCTCGTATTCCAAGTTCACAGAGACTCGGAAGCTGTTCGAGAGGAGTTTGCGAGAGTCGGGACAGAACCACCGCTACTCCCCCAAGAGAGAGAAGGCCGGAGCTGGCGAGCCCCCGGATGAGTGGGGCGGTGCCAAGTCCAGCAGGGGCAGCACCGACTCCTTGGACAGCCTCAGCCCCCGGACCGAGGCCGTGTCCCCCACCGTGAGCCAACTGAGCGCCGTGTTCGAGGGTGCCGACTCCCCCGGGGCCAGCGCTCCCGAGAAGGCTGAGCACGAGTACTCGGTGACTGGGCACTACCCCTTGAACTTGCCCTCGGTGACGGTTACGAATCTGGACACCTTCGGGCATCTGAAGGATGCGAATTCTTGGTCCCCTCCGAGCAAGCAGGGAGCTGAAGCCGAGGAGGCTTGGAAGGGTGACACTGTTCCAGCACCCGAAGTGGCTTCTAGGGGCACCTCTCCAGCACCGATGCCTGGCGAGGAGACCCAGCCGAGCTCGGACGCTGAGGAAGCCACATCCCGACGTGAGACACCTGGCAGCCCTGACACAGATGTACCCGGAGGTGCCAGTGCCGAAAACCAGGCAGTGCCAGAGCCTGAGGTTCATTCCCCACAGAACGAGCCTGAAGATGCTGACGCTCATCTGGGTGGGAGCGAGGCAGCCAAGCAGCCGAGGAAGGAACCTTTGGGAGGCGGTTTCGCCTCTCCTGATGCTTCTGTGTCCAGTTGTGGGAAAGAAGGGCCCGAGGACTCGAGTAACTTTGAGAGTTCCCATGTGTACCTGCATGGCGACTCTACTGTGTACAGGGTGAGATCCAGGTATAATGCAGACTGGGCAGAGACTGGCACAGAGCAGGAGGAGGAGGAAGATAGCGACGAGAACAGCGACTACCAGCCAGATGTGGAATACTCTGAGATTGTTGGCTTGCCTGAGGAAGAAGAGATCCCAGCCAACAGAAAGATCAAGTTTAGTAGTGCTCCCATCAAGGTAAGCTGTTTCCTCAGTCTGCTTTGGCGTTGGGGCACCAGCAGTGTGCGGAGCAGCATTGACAACTGCCAGAAACTAGTGTAAGAAAGTCAAGGTTGTTGACTTACATCAGTTGTTGTTAGGTGACTTTAAAGGCTTGAGCGTGAGAGAGGTCAGCTACATCTCCTGACGTGCTTTGTGATGACATGAGCCAATCGCAAGTGTCTTTACAGCTGAAGGAGTTTGGGGATGGTGAGGTGCGTGCCGGTGGGCTGGAGAGTGGATAGATACTGGACATCAGGATTATTCGTGTGAAATGCAATTACTTTAACCAAAAATCACAACATTTTCTGAATCTGCACACCTTAAGGCATGAGCTCTGACACATGGTAGGAGAGTGGTGGTAACTTGGAAACCAGTCTTTATCTCCTTGTTAAATAATCTGAGTTATTCCCCCTTTGTGAGTGGATTGTGAGGAATGCTGTTGGAACTTTGTTGTTTTTGGTGCTGTTAGTTAGTAGTAAAAATCTGATTTATATTAGTTGACTTAAATACTTTAATTGAAAAGCTTGGACTGTAAACAGCTTTGAGTTCAGAATTTGTTACATAGCTTTGAAGTCAAATTTTGTGAAAGGAGGTAGAGCTGATGTGCCATTGATGTATTCATTTTTACTTCTTAAAAACTGGATTTATGTCAGTTGAATTCAGATGCTGTGTTCTGATGACTTCACTTAGTTAACATGTAGCAGAGGAGACTAGCACACAGCACCTCCTCCGCAGGACTGGAACATGACAGCCATGATGGCAACAGGGACAGGAGGTGGTGGGTTGAGTCTCGAACCTCTTGGAATGGTTTTTCCAGGTGTCCTTGCCTTCTGGCTCAGTCCTGAGGTTCTGGCGTGCTCTCCTGGGAGATATGGGGGGTTATCGTGGCAGAAGGTGTCTTTCAAGATCACGTTCCAGGAATTTCCGACTTACAGGATCAGTGGATGATAGACTTGGAATTCAACTTCTTTCTGTGAATTTTCTCAAAAAATCTAAAATCGCTGTCTACTGTTCTTTCTATCTTACAAACTTCCAAGCAAAGCTGTAAGATATTCCACATCTTACATAGAGGTGTTACATATTGTGCATATACATATTATACATGCCATGTGTGACAGGTCGGGTATGGCCGGAGTCATGGGGGGGGTGCGAGTATTCACCAAGACCGTTGTGAATTAAGAAAGGTAGATTTATAGCTGGGTGCAGTTGCTCAAGCTTGCAATCCTAGCACTTTGGGAGGCCGAGGCGAGAGGATTGCCTGAGCCCAGGGGTTTGAGACCAGCTTGGGCATCTTGGTGAGACCTCATCTCTACAGTAAATAAGAAAATTAGCCGGGTGTGGTGGTACATACCTGTGGTTCTAGCTAGGCTGAGGCGGAAGGATCACCTGAGCCCAGCAGGTTGTGGCTGCGGTGGCCATGATCATGCCACTGCACTCCAGCCTGGGTAACAGAGTGAGATTCCAGCTCAAAAAAAAAAAAAAAAGGTAGATTTATTAAAAGGAAGACACATTGTGAAGGGTGCAAGAGAAGAACTGTGGGAGGGTGTCTGCTGTCTGCAAAGAGGCAGTGGCCTCAGGTTCTTCCCTGTGGAGTTTGGCCTCTCTTCAGTTAGGATGAGTTTTCAGATTCCCATCATACATTTGGGTTTCTGCCGTGCAAATGAGGCAGCTCTGATTGGTTGATGCTTGATTTTAAGCCCCTCCTGGGCCATCTGTGGTTTGTCATTACTTTCTCAATACAGTTTACCCAGTTCACTTAAATGATGCCTCGTTGGGCCTCACGTTCCTTCATAAACATATCTGCCATTGCTTTGACTGTGAAATACTGTTTTGAAGTAAAGTGATAATCTATGAAATTACTTTCAGGTGTTAGCAGGCAAGCTAAAGTTAACATTCCAGCACCGCTGCTGAGATACTCTGTGTTAAAACGTGGGCCATGTTAAGGCAAACCATGTTGAAACTCAACTAGACGTGCTGAGATTCTCTGCAGCACTTCACCTCCCCTTGGTATTCTCTCCTGCCTTCCAGCTTTCCAACCTCCCTATCCTCTTTGGGCACTGTCTTCCAGGGTGCCAGTCCCTCAGGCCTGTTCAGTGAGCCCCTAAATTCCACCATTCATGTCCCCTTTGAGTATCATCTTTCTACCCCTTATAAAGAAAGCAGTAGGATTACATCATTTCACATTGAGCAGGGCAGGAATAACGGAAATAAACTCTTCAAGGAGCTTTTAGACCTTGTGGCTGACTTTGTAATAGGGACAGCAGCTTATGGAAGCATACCAAGTAGAACGCTACCCACTCAGCCAAATGGGACACCAGCCCTGTGTTTTGGTCCTGTGCTGTACAAAACACAACTGCGTAGTAGAAGGCTTAATGGATTTTAAGGGATTTGTCATTGAAATATGTCTGTTTATATGCAAACAGACCAGCATTTTGGGAATGATATTTTGAAATTCAAGTGATTTTTGCTACTATTGCTTATAGCAATAAGCATTTGCCTCCTTTCATATAATAAATAGACTGTTTCCTATAGCAAATAACGAAAGTAGATTATGTACAGTTAAGTTTAACACATTTCATCAAGAACTTAGCTCAAAAGGTTTGTGAAACAAAGATATAGATTGCATCTTGTTGGGCAGTTAACAGGACTAGTTGGAGTGGGTTAAGTTTGTGTGCGTAAACAGAAGATTCATTCTTAGCCCTTTGAAATAAATAAGACAATTACTCTTTCTTGTTCCTTCTGTTGTTTAACATGCAAGTGGGTTCATGTGGAAGATTTGAGTGCTGCTTTCTCCTGGTGGTAGTGGTGGCGGTGGCGGCTGCGGGGGTGTTGAAGCTAATCTCCAAGTCAGATTTTTTTTTTTTTTTTTTTTTTGCCTCAGAGGGTGGTGATACCTAATTAGATTCAATAAGTACTTATTGAAAGCTTATCATGCGTGTTCTTTCATGCTGTTAGCTGCAGAAGATGCAAACACCTATAAAGTTCCCCCTTTCCTCTGTGAGCTTGTAGAGTCAATTCTTTTTTTTTTTTGAGTTGGGGTCTCGCTGTGTTGCCCAGGCTGGAGTGGAGTGGCACAATCCTGGCTATCACAGGCTCGACCTGATGGACTCAGATGATCCTTCTGCCTCAGCCTTCCAAGTAGCTGTGGATATTATCTATGATATTTGTGTGTGTGATACTGTCCTCAGCGTCCAGTTCTATTCTTTTAATAGTTGTTTTAAATAGTCACTTCCATAAGATGTCTTAAATCTGGACCTAGAAGAACATCAACATAATAGTTGCTCTTTCCTGTGTTGTAACATGCTCCTCATACTTGTGAGTAACTTTTAAAAATGGTCAGGTTGTGTTGCTGGTCAGCAGTTAGTGTGATCCCCCCATCTTTAATAGACATAGTTATTTATTGGATAGGGTGGTGTGTTGCATAGGGTCATGAAGTATCAGAATGGGATTAAGAATAGTAGGTATGACATCCAATGTTGAAATACGGAACGGGAGAATACCATGAGGTGTGCTAATCTGAGATGTGTTTTGCCTTCATTTTCAGGACTTTCTCAAAGGGACTGAGCTAAAGTAAATTTGTCTTAGATGAGTCAAAGATAGAGAGGGCAACATTTATCATTATTTTTTCTGTTAATTCAGAATACTTATTGAGCCCCTAATATGTGTTGGGAACAATGCAGATATAATAAATACATAAAGTGACTGGAACCGACCAAGTCAGGCATGTGGGTCAGTGGAATGGGCACAGCCTATTACAGATGCTTCTCAGGCCGTTCTCAACTCTGTCCCTTGATGACCTTCCTAAGGTCACTGCAGCCTTGTTAGGGAAGTCATGGTTATGACTATTTCTCTATTTTTGGTAGCCTCATGTCCTTTGACTGCATATTCTTGAAACACAGCATATCCAAAAAAGGAGGTTCTCCCAGCTCCCAGCAAGGAGATTGCAGTGCCAATGTTGTGGTGCCCTATACCATGCTTTGAGTGTTTTCTCAAACTGTGTGGAGCATTTCAGGGCTAGTGTTCCAAAAATCAGCAAGGGCAGCACTGCTTCTTTAAGCCTTCCATGATAGTTGTTGAACATGGATCTTCTTGGCGCTCCTCTTGTGGGGCTCCAAGTCATCGTGCAGGATGGTGTTTAGAGAATGGTGTTCTGACATCCAGCTCTTTGTCTTTGGGGAAGCTTCTGTTTCTTTCTAGGGTTTTTTTCAGTGCTACTTAAACTTCAGTGTGCATGTGAATCACTTGGAGATCTTGTTAAGATTCAGGTTCTGAGTCAGAGGTGCTCTGTGGGAAATTACCTTGATGCAATGCTTGGCCTCTGAGTACACCAGCAGTCAGTCTATCTCAGAGGTTATGGAAGAGGAAGGCCCAGCAACCCAAATAAAATGCTTGAATTCCACAATTTACCATAAATTTAATACACAAATCCAGGCACAAGGAGAAAGCCATGGGGTAAGTCAACACATTTACGTTCCAGCGAAGTCAGAAGGACCATATGACCTGTGTGCTGAGGACACAGTGTTCCTGTGTGCCATCTCACTCTATGGCATCAGCCTTCCCCACTGAGGATTTGGTTGTGAGGACCAGAGTTGATATTTGATCTAAGTCTCTCTAGATTAGTGATGCCTTGGGTCACTGAGACCATCCCCACTCACTGCTGAAGAGCTATGGGACAGGGACACTGAGGCACAACTGAGGCCTTGCTGGTGTGCCTGCTGAGAGCCTGGTTACCTAGTGGTGTCCTCTGTGGAGGGAACGCATCTGGCCATCCAGACAGGGTACCTAGGACTGGCCTTGCTACCCTTCCTATCTGTAGGTAAGCCTCATCCGTACCACCACTGTTACTATGTGTTCTCTTGATGTCATGTCTTATAGGTTACTGACTTAGCTGTTTTTTTTTTAACACACTTGAATCCTGTCCTAGTCTCCCAGAGTGTGTTGTCATGGTCACTTCTTAACCCTGTCTGTGAGTGACC